ATAGTTGTCTGGTTGGTTCTGAACATTTGAGTACTATTGACCACAAAGCTCTATTTGCAACCATGAAAAGACTTTAGTGCAGCCATCTTTTGTGTTTTCAGTTTTACTTGTATCAACTGCAGGGATATTTGGGGCCAATTAAGTTCATTATAAGCATACTGCATAAGCCCTTCAAAAGCCAGTAATCTGACTTAAAACTCCTAGTCAGGGGTTCCTTACCTCATCTTGCCTTCTGCTGGATAAGCCAGGAACTCAATCTCAATGAATGGGCCTTTTTTCCTTTCTTGGAATGATTTTTAAGATAATGATATTTTCAAGCCTCCTATATTCAAACTAATGATTATATAGTTTATCTAATTAAATTGTTGAAAATCTGAGGAATGTGAGGTTATATCTTTTCTTTGCCCATCAGATAAATTAAATGCCTTTTCCCTCCATTTTATAGATCCCAAAAAATTCAGATGGTCTTATTGAGTACAGGGCACATCCCTTCTGGGAGCAAAAGTATTGTCCCTCACATGAGCATGACAGGACTCCTCGGTGTTGCAGTTGTGAAAGAATGGAGGTGAGTTTTGAAGCAAAGCTATTCTCCCCTTTTGTTTTTCTGCAAGAAGGGGAGAGGGAGGGGACTATATTTTTGTTCTTTGATGGCATTTTTTGTTTATTTTCTTAAAACATTGCAATATCTGCAGCCAACGGATGCAAAATACTTTTCACTTGATGATGGTCGGAAGTTGTGTCTTGAGTGTCTAGATTCTGCAATAATGGATACTTTTGAATGCCAGCCTCTTTACTTTGAAATACAAGAATTTTATGAAGGTTTAAACATGAAAGTAGAACAGCAAATTCCTCTACTCTTGGTTGAGAGACAGGCACTCAATGAAGCCATGGAAGGAGAAAAGAATGTAAGGGTTAAATTGAATTTCATGTCATAAGAAACATCCTTTTTGTTCTCTTCAATACCATTTGGTTTACCATATTTGTCTAACTGTTGGCAGGGCCACCAACACTTACCTGAAACCAGAGGACTCTGCTTGTCAGAAGAGCAGACAGTCACCACAGTATGCATTTCCTTTCAGTGTTTTTAGTTCTAAAATGCATAACCTAGTTTTATCAAGAAGTAAGAGGTCTAATCTTAAATCTCATTCACTCAAATTACCAGGTTAAAAAGTGGCCAAGGAATGGGGCAGGCTATCGGTTTATAGACATGATTACAGAGCCTTATAGGCTAATTCGTCGATGTGAAGTTACAGCTATTCTCATTTTATATGGCCTTCCTAGGTAACCCCTCTTATTTCCATCCCCACGGGATGCCATCCATAGTTGCCTGCAGATTTGAGGTATATGGCCTAAAATACTACTGTACATACAGGTTGTTGACTGGATCCATTCTTGCTCATGAGATGATGCATGCATGGCTTAGATTAAAAGGTTTTTATCTATCCCATGAGTTAATTATCAATATGATGACAATAATAGCTGCATTTTTATGATGGTGAGCCAGAAAGTACTAATGGAGTATGGTGTTCAACTTGACAGGTTATCCCAATCTGAGTCTAGAGGTTGAGGAAGGTATATGTCAGGTGTTAGCTCATATGTGGTTAGAATCTGAGATCTACTCTAGTTCTAGAATTGATGCTGCTTCATCATCATCATCACCATCACCATCACCATCATCCACTTTAACATCGTCAAAGAAGGGCAAAAGGTCTGACTTTGAGAAGAAACTTGGTGAGTTTTTCAAGCACCAGATTGAGTCAGATGCATCACCTGCTTATGGAGATGGATTTAGACAAGCCAGCCAGGCAGTTAATAAGTACGGTCTAAGGAGTACCCTTAACCATATTCAGATGACAGGAACCTTTCCTCTCTGATTACATGTGATGATCAGTCTTTGTTCTCGCACAGTTCAACACCCCAGTTCATCATATATTGTTCTATGGTAGAAACAATCGTATAGATTAATACAGGTATAGGGAATAAGCAATATGTATATGCTCATTTTCATTTGCAAATTGCGATTATTATGACTATGGTATTAGATATAAAATGCAAGGAAAAATATGAGTATATTTTGCTTTGAATTTTTCTCACATTGTGTTGGAGATTCCCGTTATTTTATTAGCTGCTTCCCAATATGCAAGACTTCGTCACGCAAATTACATGACAGATACTTGACCTTTGTTCTGGACTTGTGCTAATGGCATTACTTAGCATGATGAATGGGAGAATATTGGTTTAGTGTTTAAAGGTGTGATGCTAGTCTGATGGTTTACATGAAAGGGTGTCTTGATTCCATTGCTTGCAAAGAGCGTTTGCATGAAATTATCTAGTAGACTTTCACTCTCAGGTGGAGAAAATTAGCATTTCTTCTTTGAAAAATGCTAAAACAGTTACGTTCTCCTTCAAAAACTCTCCACGCGATACATTGTACATACATTTTACGTGGTTGGCGATTAATAATTGAGATTAAATTTAATATTTTGAAATTTAAAATTTTAACCAATTACATAAAATATGTCTCATATAAGAGTAATTTAAAACAAACATTTAAACTATAAAATTAAAAAGTGTTCAAACTTCATGGTCATCTTTTTCATGTTAGGGCATAGCAGTCTTCTTTCATAAAAACACATCAAGCTATGTTTTTTTTTTCTTTTAATATGATATTGACAAAATTTATAAAGTGTTTTTTTGATAGATAAAAATTTTAAGTTTTATTTTATTTAATTATTAAAAATAATTGATAATGATAAATATTAATTAATAATTAATAAAATAATTGATATTTATAAATTGATATTTCAAAGTATCCTAATAATTAAGAAAAAAATTTTAAACTGATAAAATTAATTATACCAAACACACATTCAGATTTTATAACAGAGAGAGAAAGCAATATCATATTGCCAAACAGACCGTTGGCTTATAATCCAACCCAATCTGACCGAACCGACTGAACCATTAGACGCCCTGACGCCGTTACGCTGTATTTGTGATAGATCCCTGTTTCAACACTGGCGGGACTTGCATTCTCCCCCACAAATAACCTGTGCCCCAAAATTGTTGCACGCCACCTGTTCGCTCTTTTGCCACAGCAAAGGTCAGTACCCAAGATTTCGACTTGATTGATGCTTTCTAGAGAAAGGATCAAGCGCCCAATTGCTTGTCATTCTTGTTCTTGATTCTGTGCCAATGAATTTCAAACGCTTCTTGCCTTCCACGAGCCTGTTCAACCATCTAACCCAGCAAGCTCGCTTCTTTGTCCGCGAACCATTTCCCAACAAGCTTACCCAGTACCTCTGTCGAGCCGAGCTTATCGACTCAATTCGTCTCGCTCTCCGTTCCAGCTCAGGGAATTCTCTTCCTTCACTTTTAAACACTCGCCTTCTCGACTCCTTCGTTGTTACTCAGGCGCTCCGTTGTGCTCCCTCTGCCGATTCTGCTTTGTCATTTATGGAGGTTCTCAAGACAGTCACACATTTCGAGCATTCTCAAAATACCCTTCATGCCCTTGCCACAGTTCTTTCCAAGTTCAAGCGAAATGCTGAACTAAAATCTCTTATTGGTGCCATTTTTGCTGGGAAGTTTAACAATGTTCGTGTCAGCTTTATGAACCTCATGCAGTGGTATGCTGCAGCCGGGGACCTTGATGCGGTTTTAAGTACGTGGGATGAGTATAGGCGTGCAGAGAAGCGTGTGTGCACTGAATCTTACAACATTGTCATGCATCTTTATGTGCAGATGAGCAAGAATTTTGAGGCAGTGGAGGTTTTTCATCGAATGATTAATGAAGGGGCAATTCCAAATTGTAGGACATACACTGTTATAATTGAGCATCTTATTAGTTTAGGGAAGCTGGATTCAGCTAGGGAGGTTTTCAGTATGATGCCACTAATGAGAATCAAGCGAACTTTGAAACAGTTTTCAGTTCTGGTGGAAGCATTTATTGGTGCAGAAAGGTTTGATGAGGCAAAATCTTTGCTTATAGAAATGAGGGATGATGGGAAGTTTCCTAGCCGAACAATGCGTCCATCTTTGCAAAGGATGAAGGAAGCGGGATATGTTGAGGAAACAGAAGAGTTTCTTAGAGAAATGTTGCCTGATGAGAGGATTGGGAATGTGGGTTATTGTGAAGATAGTAGTGATGAGGATGGGGATGAGGATGGTGGTGATGATGGATATGTTGATGGGATTAAATTGAAACCATGGTTGGACCCAAAAGCTTTAGCTAGTGCCTTGAAACAATGGAACTATGAAGTGGTAGCTACACTGGAGAGTGTTAATTTTGTGTGGACTACTAGAATGGTATGCAAGGTTCTTAGGAATTTCAATTCAGCTGAAACAGCTTGGAATTTCTTCTGTTGGGTTGCCTCTCAGCCTGGATTCACTCATGATGTTTACACAGTGGAAAGAATGATAACCCTCTTGGCACGCCATGGACATGCTGAAATGGTTGATAAACTTCTAACCAAAGTAAGAATGGAGGGAATGAGATTGTCTTTTAGCACCATCAGATTACTTATTGACTTCTATGGTATTTCGAAGAATGCTGATGCTGCCCTAAAGGTCTTCCAAGATGATAGAGCACTTTGTGGTCCCATATCAAAGTTCAATCTAATGCTTTTATACTCTTCTCTCTTGAGAACATTAACCAAGTGTCGGAGGAATCAGGATGCTCTGGATGTACTTGAAGAAATGATCTTAAATGGAATTGTCCCAGATATCCAAACTTTTTCCGGGTTGATATATCACTTTGCACTACAGGGAGATATTAGAACTGTACAGAAACTTTTTGCATTGGTTAGGCAGAGTGGCGTGGAGCCAGATGCCTACATATATAAGGTAATCATTCAAGCTTATTGCAAGTGTCAGAGAGCAGCACTTGCATGGAGGGTTTTTGAAGACATGATGAACTCAAATTTGATGCCTGATTTTGCCACAAAAGAGTTGCTTCTTAAGAGTCTTTGGAATGAAGGGCGGCGAAGAGAGGCTGCTGCAGTAGAAGAGAGTTGTGACCAGATAAACGAAGTCCTTCCACTTGTATTGCGTGGTCACATATGGACAGTTAGCTCTGCAGATCTCATGAGAGTTTATAACATTTATGCTACCAGTTGTAAATCAGACACTGCTTAGAATTCAGCAATTATTTTCTTTAGAGCAAGATACTGGGGAACAGTTTTACAAACACTGATCTTTTGGTTTTTACTGTTTAACTCCTTCCATTGTCTTTTCTGATTTATCCAGATACGCTAGATATATATAGGTTAGTGTGTGTATCAATATTGACTTTCAAAACAATCGGAGTCTCAATCTATATTTGAAAACTGAAATTTCATCATATTAAATGTTAATATCTAGATTTATAAATTTATTATATATTTTAATATAATCAGTTTTTAAATTTAAATATTAACATTTAATATGATAATTTGAATTGAATTTCAATTAAATAAAATGACATAATTTAAGGTTTGGACTCCTATTACTTTTAAGAGTTGAGACTAATATGCAATTTTCATATATATATATATATATATATTGGTTTTTCTTATCAACCAGACATGCAGGATATTAACTCCACTTGATGGATTTTTCACCCACAAGCCGAACTACAGGCATCTTTAGGGCCACTTAATTCCACAGGTGCGAATTTTCGCTAGCACACTTTAGACTGTTATTCTGAGCAATGATTTGTCAGTTCTCACCTTTGAGAGACAATAACGACGCATTTCAGAATCAAGCACAATATTTTCTTGCTTAATACCTACACATCCAGGTCCTGATGGAGCTATCAGTTAGTTTTCATTAAATGATTTACTGACATTTAATATATAGTTATTGTCAAAAGGGACAACTGCTTTGCCGTCCCAAGTTGGCTTCTTGTTTTAAATTAATCTGATACTCCTCAAATATTCCAAAAAGAAAAGAACTAAAATCCAGAAAATTGAGAATTACTAGAGTCTGTGTCTGTTACATCGGATTTTCATTTTTGAGATTATTTTGCATGATCAATAAACAATTATATGTACTTTTGCAGGATATATTAATCTTTTTGGTGTTCAAATCAAAGCTGTTGACAATCGACATTGGATCGTTTCAACAAATTCTATTTCATTTAAGACGGAAAGAGACATGTATGATAACCAATAATACTGCTTTTAGCTTTTCCATCAGCCTTTGTTGAGATATCTTTCTCCTAGACCTTTTCATCTGAGCACGTATGGCATGTTCTACTCCAAAGCCTGAGAAACTAGTCTGGTAGCAAAAATGGCAATGGCAATTTCTCTCGTCTTTCCGAGTTCTATTTTTACTAGTTCTCTTCTTCACCTCATATGTCACAACTCAACCACCACCTACTGGCACAAACTTCTCATGCTCTGAAAATTCCTCCCCATGCTCTACATCGCATACTTTGGCCAGGAACCAGGATTTCTGGACCTGGAAAACATATCTGATCTGTTTGGTGTGTGTCCCATATCAATAGCCAGAGCTAGTAACTTGGCTTCTGAGGATACCCGGTTGTTCCCAGGCCAACTGTTGCTGGTGCCTATATCCTGTGGCTGCAGTGGGAACCAATCTTTGGCCAACATCACTTATGAGATCAAGCAAGGTGACAGCTACTACCTTGTTTCAACCACTGCTTTTGAATATCTCACCAATTTGCATGTAGTTGAAGACATGAACCCTGCTCTTAATCCAGTCCAATTGGAGATTGGTGTCAAAGTGGCGTTTCCTCTGTAGTCTGTACTGTAAATGCCCATCAAGAGCCTAGAGAGAGAATGGAATTCAATTTCTCATTAGCTATGTATGGCAAAGAAATGACAATATTCAGAGTGTAAGCGCCAAGTTCAATGCTTCATCAACAGACATCAGAGCTGAAAATAATTACCAGAATTTCGGCTCTCAGGAAGGTATTCCCATAATGATCCCTGTGTCACAATTGCCTGTTCTGTCTCAGACTTACCCTTCTAAACAAACCAAATTCAAACATCAAGGGATCCTGATAGCTGTTGCAAGCACAGTTTGCACGGTGGTGATTTTTGTTTTAGCAGCTCTGCTGACCCAAACTTACACTCCACGTAAGAGAAGGAAGGCTTTTGAACGGAAACAGCTCCTCTCTGGAGACTGCTGATTTGATTCAAGATGTGGAGGTTGGGAAGAGTGGAGGTTTCCAACCAAAGATCATCCAGGATAAGCTACTTCCTGGAGTTTTCAGGTATTTAGACAAGCCAATTATGTACGAGGTAATAGAAATTCTGGATGCAACCATGAACTTTAGTCAGGAATATAGGATTGGAGGATCAGTGTACGGAGCCACCATTAATGGGAAGATCTTGGCGATCAAGAAAACAAAGGAAGATGTCACAGAGGAGCTGAAGATTTTACAGAAAGTAAATCATGTAATTCTGCTGAAGTCACTAGGAATATCTTCTGATTCTGATGGAAACTGCTTCTTGGTCTATGAATATGCAGAAAAGGGGTCACTGAATAAGTGGTTGTATCCGAAATCCTCATCCTCTTCAAACTCTGGGGCCTTTCTCACTTGGGGTCAGAGATTAAATATAGCGTTGGATGTGGCAAATGGACTGCAATACATGCATGAGCACATTCACCCAAGCATTGTACACGGGGATATCAGAACAAGTAATATTCTTCTAGACTCTAGCTTTAAGGCCAAGCTTGCAAATTTCTTCTTGGCAATGACAGCTACAAACTCCGTGATGCCAAAAGCGGATGTTTTTGCTTTTGGGATTATTTTGTTGGAGCTGCTTTCAGGGAAGAAAGTCATGGAAACCAAAGAAAATGGTGAGGTTTCGATGTTGTGGAAGGAGATAAGGGAAGTCCTGGAGAAGGAAGAGAAGAAAGAGGAGAGGCTAAGGAAATGGATAGATCCAAATTTGGAGAGGTTGTATCCTATTGATGGTGCTCTAAGCTTGGCAGTCTAGGCTAGGGCCTGCACACAGAAGAAGTCACTTGCTAGGCCAAGCATGGCAGAAATTGTCTTTAGCCTCTCTGTTCTCACTCAATCATCTCCTAAGACATTCGAAGGCTCTTGGTCTTCAGGGGGAGAACCAGAAGAACTTGCTCAAATTAAAAACTCCATCATTGCTCAGTGATTGTTTGTCACTTAGATCCTAGGAACTCCACATGTAACAATCTCCATGTATAATGTTACCCTGATCCAATGTACAGGTCCTGCTTGCCTCTCAATTTTAATAAACCGGCACATATTATACCATTTATGTATTAATGAATATAAAGAGCATTTTAGATTTGTTAGTAACTAAATATGGTAGAAAGGGATGATAAAATGGAATTCTTTCCCCTCAAAGATTGGAGGTGTGTATAGAATTATGAATTGTTTTGAGAATCATTCAAATGCTTGTGTAGGGTGAGCAACCTATTTGTTTGTTGACTAAATGCCACCCAACAAATGAAATTTTGCAAATATTAATTCTAAACATATGCATTCATACGTCAGCAAAATAATATAAGATTTGCCGTAGTTATCTGGGTAACTGAGGTGTTACTTTGGAACGGACAGGCTCTCAGAATGCAAATGACCTGTATAAATGAAGCCTTAATTTTCAAGTAGCTGTCAGCAATTATTCCCAGTTGCTATAGGATGACAGTTCGTCGAAGCCCCTACCTGGTCCGAACAAGCATCATGGCCTTTAGGGCAGTTAAATGAAAAACGTGTAGTTTGATTTATTCAAGGACCTAACTTACCAGTTGGGTGGCCTATTCTTTCTCTCTTGCCTCTAACTGGGTCAAGATCCTTCTGTTGTTTTCAATTCCTTGATACTTAAGGAAATTTGAGGGCAAGGGTGGGAATTGTTGCTGCAGATAATGAAGGCAAGGTTTGAAGTCATCCAAAACATTTTTTTTTAAAGCAGACCTACTAAAAAGGAAAAAAAAAAAATGATTATGCAGAACAAGACATCAAACAATATAAGATACACACAACACAATTACGCTAGGAAAAATTTTGGGCAAAGTTTCATAACATATACATCTCATAATTGATAGCAGAAAAATTGAAAATTTATTTGAATCAACATAATTTGTTATACAAGCAGAAAATGAAACTAGCTAAAACTTACGGAAATTACTCTAAGACTCCATCTCCACTGCAGCACCTTCAATAGCTCCCACTGGCACTTTGTTTCCCCGAAGTGCTATTTGAATTTTCCCATGATAATGAAGCAGTCAGGGTTCTTGAGAGAGACTGCACAACGTCATCCATTGCTGGACGACTTGTAGGATCTTTCTTTATGCAACTAGTTATCAGTCTCACAACAAACATGGCAAGTTCAGAAGGATAATTGTCTTGCATGGCAGGGTCGATTAAACTCCTTAGGCTCTCCTGTTTGTTTTCCTCATCAAGAACTTTGCTTAGGATGTCTGATGAGTCCATATACCCCTCACCAGACAATGCAGCAGCCTCCTTCCCAGTAATCATCTCCAGCAACAGAACCCCAAATGCATAAACATCAAGCTTTGTAGAGATTAAACCATTTTCTAAATACTCAGGAGCCATGTAACCCTTTGTCCCAACAATGTGCCTGGTCAATGCAAACTGGCCTTCTTCCCCAGCTGTCGATCTTGCCAGAGTAAAATTCGCTATCTTTGCCCTGAAATTACCATCAAGGAGAACATTGCTGCTTTTTATATCCTTGTGGATATAAGGAGGATTGGTGAAGCTATGGAGATAGGTAAGCCCTGTAGCTACATCCAAGGCAATCTGCATCCTCTGTGTCCAGCTCAAGTAATTTCCATTGCCATTGTTATGGTAGATCCAGTCGCTTAAGGGTCCATTGACAGCAAATTCATACACCAGATACCAATTCCCATCATTGAAGGAAAGACCAGAGAGGCGAATAAGATTGGAATGGTTGATCTTGTTTAATAAATTTACCTCCTTTGACACATCTCCATGCACTTTCTTAATGGCAGCATAATCCCCATTAATTATACCTCGGTACACAGATCCCTTAATCCAACAGTTGTTGCTGAAATTGTCTGTTGCAGATTGCAGTTCTTCAAATCTGTACACCTTGAGAGATTGAGCTATACTGTCTACACTACTCAAGAGGTCCAGAGATTCATCCTCCAACTTCTTTTTCTCTGATTTTTCACATGCTTCAAAATTGCCTGAGACAACGACTGAATCCATTTTCTTCTTACTTTTACGGGGGACAACACAGAAAATGATTACCCCACAAACTAACAGAAGAGCACCTCCAGCAAGAACTCCAGAAACAATATAAACCCATGTCTTCTTTGAGCTTTCTATAGGGGGAGATGTAGGACTAGGTGAAGCTGGTGGTGGAGGAGGAGGGGCTATGGTCTGGGAACTTGTAGGTGGCCTCTGCAAGGGAACTAAAAGGGTAGTGAAGGGATAGATATTGGTGTTTTGTTCAGAAAGGCCATTAGCTTCAAGAGTCTCTGCAGTATTTGCACCAAATCTGTCACTAATGCTTGAGACGTAATCACCAGAAGCAACTGTGTAGCTCAACAGATAGTTAATACCGGCATCAGTTTGGTTCTTAGTTGGACAAGCACATCTAAGAGGAACTGTTATTCTGGTACCAGCGGACAGATTCTGGGGGTCACTAACACTCTGATTCTGTATAGCTTGACAGGTTGAAAGGCCTTGAAAGGTGTTGTTTGCAATCCCGAGAACAGTATCTCCACTGACTACAGAATAAGAAGTGTTTGCCTGATAGTACTGACCAGAACAGGAGCAGCTGACAGGAACAATCACCAGCTTGTTAATCTCAAAAGTTTCATTCTCAGGAACTGAATTTATCTCTGCAAGCTGAGATGAATTAGAAGACATGAGAGAAGAAATGGAAGCAACAGTATTATAAGGGGGCTGTGATCTGAAGATGAGGTAACCCTGGCAACTCTTCTCCAGGCCATTACAGGAGTACCCAAGAACAGTATTTGAAGTATCTGGATTGGTGCAATCTGTTGTGGCCTTTCCAACATAAAGCTGCTGAGCATGAATCAAGCAGCTGCAACAAAATATGGAGACAATGAAAAGAAAAGGAAAGGACCCCATTTCAATCAAGAAATTCCCAAAACGTTGTTGGAGAGATGAGGATATTTATTCTGGCACCATATATATTTGGAAACAGAATAATTATTCTAAGATGTAAATAATGTGGACAGTTCTCACATGATGAAGAAATGAAGAGGGTGGAAAAGAGAAAGCTTACCAGCCTACCTGGTCCACAGGACTCTCCCTCCTGTGGGATTTACCACATTGGCCAAGTAACTCTAGCTTTCAGATGTCCTCTAGGGGAGGTTCGAATAATTAAAATTTTGACTTTTTATATTAAAAAATTTTTTTTACCAAAAAAAAAAATTTAAATTTAAAATTTAAGATAAGTAAGGTGAAATTTGAGTAGAGAATAATTATTTTTATTACATAAGTTATTATTTAACGTACCAAAACTTATATTTTTACATATTATTTAATAATTTAAAATGAAATTTTTGACATATAACATCTAAAATACAATTTATTTTAATTTGAATCATTATATATTAGGTAACAATAAACTTGATTTCATTTTCGATGAATGAAATCAGAAGGTTGACTTCATTTGGTGGATGTATCAATATCCATTTTATAGTATTATAAATCTGGTTGATTGTCTCATTCATGCACACAGAAAAGGAAATATTTTTAGATGCAGATGGAGAACAATAAGAAAGATCCGTTTTAAAAGATACACCAAACCATACGAAATCAGCATTAAATTGATAAGAATATGCCAGAAAGATGCCACCCTATTGTTTAGACACTAGTTAATGAAAATATACTAGTTTATTGTTGGCACGGCTGCCATTGGCTAAAGTCAAAGCAGCCAACCAACCAGCAAATTTCACTTTTAACCACGAAGCAAAAGCTATAAAGGAACATTAATGCCCCACCGTATTAGCGGACCAAGGCCAGGTCTATATGGCATTGAGACCTTGACTTGGCCAATAAGTTGACTCAGTCTAGGGTCCATGAACCATGTGGATGATACAGGGCTTGAGACCACATGCCCCTATTATATACAAGCTCAGGGACATCTTCAAAGTAGGAGGGGGAGAAAATCAAAAGCTTGAATTGTTATCAACATAAATAGATACAGAACAGCAGCACAACAAAAAAGTGTAGAATTCAAGCTGAAATCTGCTAAGAATTTGGTTGGTGAAAAAAAAAAAACTTGTCTTGGTTGCTTGCCGTGAAGCATTTGGTTTCTCTCTTCAAATTTGTTGTGCAGGTTTGGCACAACAGTTCAAATTGAGGAAATTCACTTTATAATTGTTCCTCTTTTCTTTTCCTAAAAATAGACCATAACCAGACTTAACACAGCTGGAGCAATTTGAGGTACTTCATTGAAAGTAAAGCTAGAAACTAGAAACTGCCAGCCCAAGTTCCTATGACCAATGTTCCTCAAATGCCAGTTTCCACTCTCAATTCTAGATTATGCAAGAAACCTAAATTCTCTGTCAAGGAAATGAACAATGTTGCAAGATATTTGCATAGTGCAATTCAGTTTCAACAACACTCATAAGCTAATTCCAAACCTTTCAAAAGTTTAAAGAACAGTGGAAGAATAAAAAGAACCCTATAAACTGTAAAGCATTAACAGACACCCAACATGGTTAAATGAATGCCAAAAAAGAGTTAAAAACTTGAGGTTGAAGGCGACTCACAGAGTGGAAGTGGTTCCACCCCCAACTGGAAGCTGACTTAGAGGGCCACAAGAACACCAGTAGTGAATTGATCATCCCTTCCAGTCCCAAATTTACCATCTTTGCGTTAATAGCAAGTGTTTGAT